TTTCTATTTGTATTTGAATTAGGATTTCTATTCAGCTTACTCAGAATTAAAGGGACCTAAATTTGGAATAGGATTCGTAAAAAAAAAGAAAACGACAATAAAAAAAAAGGAAACTATCACCGAGAAGAAAAGAAACTAAATGAGTTGGAAAAAAACAACCAACGGTCATGGAAGTACAAAACGGATACTCCATAATACGTATAGGATAATAAATAGAAAAGGATCAGAACTCTTCGTGATTTAATACCAGAATAAGATTTTATACTACTACTATTTTTTTATTTTTATTTGTATTTGAATAGGATTTCTATTTAGCTTACTCAGAATCAAAGGGATCTATATTTGGAATAGGATTCGTAGCTATCTAGGAGTCCAATCCAGGAATATCTTTATCCAGGTCCCATACACGACCCAATACGTTTTGGAATTGGACTCGTATCGCGTAGACAAGAGCTATTATAACTCGAATGAGCACATGTTATATATATAAGTCTGGACGGAAGAAATCTCTGTTGTTCGGTTGTTAGAGGGAGATGGATAAAAAAATGGATGGACTAAAAAAATAATCAGAAATTTTGCCTCTTTATTATTAAATATATAGATATAGAATAGCGAGAACAAAATTAGAAAGTTAAAAATCAAGGACAAAATCATAATTAGATTGCTGAACAAAAACACAATTTTTCTCAAACAAAAACGACCAAACAACTCAAGACTCACCGTAAAACCAAACAAAACGAAAAAACAAAACAAAAGAAGACTGTGAACAGACTCACGAAAAAAACGGGAAATTTAGCTGAATTCAAAATAGCTTAATCCAGATAGAATCTGAAGCGGTATTATTATTTTATACACGGAGGCAGTAGTAAACTAGCTGACGTCTTGGAGAAGGAAACGGATTTTTTTTTATGCCTAGGTCCTTTCAAGGACAAGTTGTAGTATAACTTACACACGGACACATACCTCACGCACGCACACTACACATTCACACCACCCCGAACGCAAGCTAGTCATCAGGCTTCGAGCATGACGAGCACGTCACCCTAACTATTATGGAACATTCGTGCATGAGGCAACAGGAAATTATTTAGCAAGCGGTGCAAAACCGGGTTCGAACGCAAGCTAGTCATCAGGCTTCGGGCATGATGAGCAAGTTACCATAACTATTATGGAACGTCCATGTGAGGAAATTCCAACCCCGGCCGGCCAGGAGCTTTGCCACTGCGCTACACGCGCCTGCAAGGAAACGGAATTTGGACCGCAAAATTGCAGCAGCACTCCAGCAGCCACTAGCTACAGTAGTATCAGCGCAGAGCAGCGCCAGTAGTACAAACATCCTGACCGACACGACGTCGTCGACGTGCCCCCGCCGCACGCTCCTGGGCCCATCCACGCACACATGGATACGCGACGCTCCAGCTCACACGCCATGTCAGCCTCACCGTAGCAGAGACGGTCCGCCCGCCAGGCGCCAGGCCACATCATCTGCACACGCTGCCAGCCCGGACGTGCCACGACAGCACCAGCTGGGACACGCACACGCTATACCACTGCTAAAAAACAATTTGTGGCAACGCCTCTTTTTCTTTGCAAGAGCGGCTCTATATTGAGCCATCCCTACAAATAATTATCAAATGAGCCGTCCTCCTTACAAATTGATTTATAAAGACGATCAATATTATCAACCGCTTCTATAAATAATCCGATTTATAGGAGCGGCTCTATATCCGATCGTCCCTGTAAATTTTATTTACAGAGACGGCTCAATCTTGGAACCATCCCTACACATACACGCCCGTTATTAAAAATCGGGAAAGCTATATACGTCGCTCGATTATGGTGCCTGTACTGCCGCTGTGTGTCTGACCTGGTCCAGGTGCAGCCCTGTAGGCGGCAGGTGCATGGTGCAGGTGCATGCACCCCTGTCACATCAGCTAGCCCCTATACCCATGTATGCATGCTGGTTGTCACGCGCTCATAAAATACTCGAGTATGAAACAGACGGATTCATTAAAAATTAAACACTAAAATTTAAATTTTGTAAACAATCTTCATAGAGAAACAACCAAAATAAAACTTATAGATCTCAAAAAGTTATAAAACTTTGTAGTTAACAACTTTTTATTTGAAATCATCTTGTCAAGGAAAACTACGTTTGAATTTTCAAAAATTTAAAATTTTAATTTTTTAAACGACCTCAGATGGACAAACAGTAAAAATGAAAGTTGTAGATCTTGAAAAGTTACGAAATTTTGTAGTTGATAACTTTCTCATTTAAAATCTTCTTATCATGGAAAACTACGTTCGAATTTCTCAAATTTAAAATTCAAATTTTATAAGTGACCTCGGATGGAAAAACTACCAAAATAAAAGTTGTAGATCTTGAAAAGTTATAAAACTTTATAATTGACAACTTTTTAATTTGAATTAGTTTAGGACCTCAAACAATCAATTTATGCTCCGTTTTATATAATATGTGGGGAACCAAAATAAATTGTAGACACTAGTGAACGTGAGGTGTAGTGGTAGAGGAGATGGCTCTCGAGGGAGAGTTCGAATGCCGGCCGACGCAAAGTATACAAAAATCCTAAAAAAATACTACAATCATAGAGTGGGGTGCGTGTGGCTGTCGGTGGGGTCTTCCTTGATTAAAATTTTTTTTTATTTTTTTTGTGATTTCTGAAAATTAATTTATAAGGACGGCTCAATATCTAACCGTCTCTATAAATCGATTTGTACGGCTGATTTGAAAATCACCCCTATAAATACATGATTTATAAAGACGATTAGATAAGAACGGCTGACAAACCGCCCCTACGAATCGTCATCACCCGTCACTACATAACCTTTTTTACGTAGTGTGCGGGTCAAGCGGGCTGGCGACCTTTTCTGCCTCCTCGACCGACCTCACCTGCCGCTGCCGGCGCAGCGACGCAGGCAATTGCTTGCAGAGTTTTGGCCGGCCATACTCCTAGCTGATAATAGCCCAGCCCACAGGGCGTTGCGTTGCCGGTTCTGCTGCTTCGATCTTCAGGAGTTTTTTTTTGCGCCGGCCGGTGGCCTGAATTTTCACACCTGAACGACAGCACCCGTTGTCGCGTCTCGTAAACGAGGTTTTACTCCTTCCAGACGGCCGTAATTTGGGTTCAGTTCCCCGTGTGGTTTTCACATTTAAGTGCTGTGACCGATGGTCAAACGAAAGCAAAGTAACCTCATCACGTAAGGCCAGTCTCAGTGGGGATTTTATGACCCTGTTACCAATACATCTATATTTTGGAAATAGTGCAGAAGAGTTTTATCTCCATAAAACTCTCTCTACTCCCATGAAACTCTTATCATCTCTCTCTTTATCAATACGGTGCCACATCAACCTATTTAATGCCCATAAAACTCTGATGAAACCCCACTAAGACTGGCCTAATAAAACAGGGGAAATTAGGTATTACTCCATACTCTCTCCGCTCGAAATACAAGATACTACTAGTTGTCCAAGCAATTTCAGTATCAAACAAGGAGTCTGGCAAAACACTTGTCTCTCACTAATTATTTAGTTATGTTGCTAGAGCATCTTCAATAGTTCCTAAAAAATAATTCGTAAATCAAAGAGTTCTTCAAGTGGCTACAAAAATTGGGGGCATATTTATTGGGCTCCTCCAACATTTTATAAAACCTTGCTCCTAAAATATTTTAGAAGACAATTTTATACCAGGAATCCTGGACAAATTTTCAGATTACCCTAACTATTTTTTATACTTCATTTCTCTCTTATACATTTGCATTAGAAACTCTGCCTTACTTCTTATTCTTCTCACGTCCTTCCACCTATCTAGATCAGCAGATCGATAAGTGCGCATATTTTCGCGTGATTTGGTCGATTTCTCGCAAATGCGGCAAGGTTGGGAGTTGAAGATAGGGAGTTGTTGGAGAGTAGTTTTTTTCAATCTTGCTAAAAGATCAAGATTGAGAGTGGGTTTTCAAAACTCTTGGAGATGCTCTTGTTTAATTTTCTAGTAAGCCATAGTCTTATATTATTAATTGATGTGTATTTACAAGACTACTATATGTATGTCTCGCAAAAAAAAGACTACTATATATACACACACATATAGAAATATATATAAATATTTTGAGATAGTGGATAGGCCTCACTATGGGTTGTGGACCTAGTCCTAGAAAACTCAGAAATGGCCCTGTAAAAGACATGTATGTATGCCAGTGATTTCGGCTATCAATTGCATAAGTTATTTAATTTAAGCAAGACAGTATTTAAAAGCAGTCACATATAGATAGAGTTAATACTTCAATACATTATTATCTGGATAGAGCTAAAACTTCATACATTATCTTTTAGGACGGAGAGAGCACCTTAACAGAGCTCTTATTTGAAAGACAGCTCCTATTAGAGCAACTCTCATGCTGATCATATATTTGCTAAACAAATAGTATTTTATAAAGAATTACTCGAATGTTATGTCAAATTCTTTGGAATGAACAAAGATGGCAAACCTAGCTTCTCATGATTTACTTTCTACATAGTAGAACAATTTTATCTGTAGAGTTTATCCTAAATATTATAGTCATCATAGAATCGTTTTGACACGGAAGTAGAAAAGAAATCCTACCAAACAACTGATACTGATAAAATTACTGTTAGTCTGTCTGGGGAAAGATGAAGAGAACCTTTGATTCGAATAGAAACGCTTCATACGGCAGAAACAAAATTGATTGCACGCGCCGATCCCGATCCCGATCGCGATCCTTGCACAAAAAGCTGTAATTTGACCGGTCAACCTCACGACCCCTTCTCCCGGTTGGGCTGGGTTGGCTTCCTTCCCGTTCCCGCCACGGCGCCACCTATATAAACCGCGTCCAACCAAAGCCACGTCCACGTACCTCCGCCAGCTTTTTTCACCCCCACAGGAATAGCACACCTAACAAGCGCCTCGTCCCCCTCCTGCCGACGTACGTCTCCGTTGACCGGGCCGCCGGATCGGAGCGAGATGCTCCACGGCGTCAGGTTCCTGCGCTCCGCCGTCGCCGCCTTGGCCCGCCTCGCGCACGCGCTCATCATCATCCGCAGCAGACTCCTCCGCCTCATGCCCCTCTGCTCCCCGACGTCGACCTCGGCGATCCCCGCGCCATGGCAGCAGCCGGCGGCGGCGAGGGCGGCGTCGCCCTGCGGCAGCAAGAAGGCGCACCCACCGGTGGGGACGGCGCTGATGGCCCTCGATGACCCCAACAAGGACCAGCTGCAGGCGCTGTCGTCGGCGCAGACACCAGTGGTCGTCGTCGTTGTTCCGGCGCTCAAGCAGCAGCAACAGGCGGGCGAGAGAGCTGTGGAGACGAAGACGGCGGCGGCTTCCAAGGCGGCGAGGGGAAGGCGGCCGCCCAGGCTGGCCATACCGGCGCCCATGGCTTGCGCTCCCGGGGTCGACCCGTTCGGCGCGGTGGCGGACCTGGATGCAGAGGTGGCCACCGAGCTGGAAGTGCAGGGCGAGGGGTTCTGCCTGGCCAGCAGGAGAGGGGTGAGGCACGCCATGGAAGATGGCTATGGGGTCATCACTGATCACACCGTTCAAGGAGCCTCCCAATTGGTATGCACATTTTATCAGGTCCACTACAGATTGTTAATTTATTATGAAGCTCAATGCAACTATGTTCTGAGGATGGGGATACCAACCTACTAGCGAGGTGTTCTAAATGGTGTAATGTTTTCCCAAATGAAAATCAGGTAAGAAACTGGATTAATGCATGATGATTGATGAACAATGAGACGGTGAGGAAATCTACATTTTATGGATAAATGGATAAATGTTCATAACTATTGCTTAGTTTCGCGATCTTGTAAAAAAAATCGAAAATCACTTTTGAACCTCATAATAGACTTCATTGGCCTAGAGACATCAAATAAAATGTTTTTTTTTTGCGATGTGCTACATTGAGGAAGAAGACATCTCGCAATAAGCGAGAGAGGGAGAAGAATTGAAGTTGGCCATCGAATGAAATCGAACGGACCAAACAGATATGGTTGTTCAAAACTTCAAATTTGTTTGATGATGAATAATAATACCGACTCCTCCCAAATATTTTCTTGTACAAACGGATCGATAGGTGTGTATGCGGAACTAAGTACACTAAACTATATATGTATTGCTAAATGGGTAGAGTTCTTGCCTTTCTTTGAAAAAGCAAAACTAAATGCTTACAAGATCTCCAAGTGAATTTGATCTTTGCGCAACCATTCTGGAATTGTAAAATAGAAAAATACTCACATAAGTACATACTACTCTATCATACTCTCTCTGTTGCAAATTATAATTTTATAAGATATTTTGGCTTTTCTAGATACACGGTTAAAATCAAGTGGAATGGCATTATTTTTTTAAAAAAAATCAGCATGGAATCTTAACTCTTAGCTTCTCACTGATAACCCTTTTGTATTCTTATTATGCAAGCAACGCACCTAGCTAGTACTATATAGTTGTTTAAGAAAGTAGTATTGACGAAGCGAGAACCAGTCCATTGCTTAGCTGCGAAACTTCCAAAACCTAGAATGTATTTTTTTCCCTCTCTCTCAAGCTAGACAAGTTAAGGGCACATGACTTCGTTGGTCAAGGCATGTTCGCGTGAACTTATCAGTCGGCTTATCAGCTAAAATCTACAGTATTTTTCTCTCACAACAAAACAACTTCAGTCGACTTATCAGCCGGCTTTAATACCAGCCGAACATATATCCGTTCTTTTATTTCGTCAATATGAATGTAAGATGAGCATATATTCAACAAGCAAGACACCCATAATTAAATCTGCGTCCTTGTTTTTTTCCTGTGCAGGCGTTCTACGGTGTGTACGACGGGCACGGTGGCCGGGCGGCCGTGGATTTCGTTGCCGACAAGCTCGGCAAGAACGTCGTCGCCGCACTCGCCGCCTCGACCACGGCGAGCCAGCAGCAGCAGCAGCAGGAGCTATCGCCGTCGTCGTCGTCGACGCAGCTGCCCAAGACGAGTGCTGCTGTAGAAGATGAGGCCGAGCAGGAGCAGGTTGACGCGGTCGTGGCGGCGATCAGAGCGGCCTACCTGACGACGGACCGGGAGTTCTTGACCCAGGTAGGCATCATCTACATATCGCTTACCATGCGCAGCATCAGATTCGTGTGTAGCCTATAGGAGAAGCTTGCAAATTGCAACGCAAGAGCAGCAAGCAACTAGTGTTTTTTGTTTTGTTTGACCGGGTCTGCTGTGCATGCACATTATTGTATTCATGGGTACGGCGGCGTGCATGGTTTGAACGGGTCAAGCCTCTCTTGCGTGTTTGGGAGTTTGTTTCTCCTCTAAACTTTAATCGTTGTCTCATCGGATGTTTCACATATGTGTAGAGTATTAAATATAGATTAATTATAAAACTAATTGCACAGCTTGCGACTAATTTACGAGACGAATCTTTTAAGCCTAATTAGTCCATGATTTGACAATGTAGTGCTACAGTAAACGTGGGCTAATGACGGATTAATTAGGTTTAATAAATTCGTCAAGTGGAGTACTGACAGATTTTATAATTTGTTTTTTTATTAGTATCTGAACACCCCATCCAACACCCTCACGTGATACCTCCTAAATTTCAGTAACCGAATCAAACACCCCCTTAGTTGCTGTTTTCAGCTAGACGTTGACCGTATTCCAGTAGCCACGTGTACTCGTGTAGGTGGTGGCAAGTACCAACAGTTGGCTTAATCTGCTAGGTTTAAGCCAAGTGGTGTGCATGGTGTGTGCGTGTGTGATAGAGATTGATGAATGCATGGCTTGGCTCGGCAAGCTGCTGCTGCTGCTGCTTCAGTGCCAGTGCCGTGTGGCTTCTGCTAGCTAGGATGGCATGCATGCATGCAGAGGGCGGCCGTCGGTAGTAGACTAGTACTGTTCACATGCATTGACCAAATGACCAGGTCTAGGTCATGCATGCACCTCACCTGCCTGCCGTCCACCCTCGTCCGAACGGCACGGCTACGCGTTCTCAATTCTCACGATTCAAATGGGAAATTTCCCGGTTCATGTAGATTAAAGTACAGTACGTACGTAGTTAGTTGAGTGTTTTTCCCCGCGTCGCGGAGTTGAACAATCATATTCTTCCTTCTTTCAACATTAATGTTTTGTGCATTTCAAAAGTTTAGTTTTCTGCTTTAATGTGTCCAGGCTAGCTAGGTGATTAAGGCATTAAGCTTCTGCATATTATTTAGTTCTTATGTTTTTTTTGGCAAGGAAATGTAGTTGTTCTATTTATCTAATAACATCGATCTCGTGTGTTAATCTACACTAATTTAATATATTAATGGTGAAAGTTAAACTAGTTTGAACTAGGGTTTGTGTTTGGATGATCGGACCGGTTTCGATTTCTGATGGAATGGGATGAAATGCTACCAAACACAATATTTGTGAAATGATTTTGCCTCAGAATGTTTCTATCATTCCACACTTTTTGAATGGGGCGAGTGAAGTGGCTTGAGCCTGGTTTCGCTATATTCCATTTCTAGTTTCTCCTATACACCAGCATTAATAATTTTTCCTAGTTATCCCTTTTTAGCACAATAGGTTAAATGAGTTGTATTAATGTTATTCCTTTAATATATTTTTATTTAATGTTATACAATCAGCTAACATTTTTTGATTTAGAATTCACCCTACCAACCAAACGATTGCATAAGATTGATTCTGATTCATCACCTAAAACATTTCTTAAGATCTAGATCTGAAGTGTTTCTATGAAAATTTAGATCCCTACCAAACGTAATCAAACTAACACAGAACAAAAGGACATATACTCCCTACCAGAGGAAGTATACTGCTTGAAACTCTACCACGGTTTAGTTTATCACTTCTCATATATTTTTGGTCCCTGATTTTTGTTATTGTTCAAGTGACATATAATTTTTTCATTGTTTGGACATAATAAAATATGAACTATCTCATATAAATTATCCTTTTAATTATATTAGCTGATTGTATAAAATTATTGTTTGCCTGCAGTATAGCAACTCTATTGAATTATTATTGCAAGAAAGCAGTGTGAAGCGAATTTCACACACACATGTGCAAATTTTGAACATAGCTTGCACATGGGTTTTCCATGAATAGTAGTACTACTAGTAATTGCTAGTACTATTGTAAATAAATCGGAGTTTAGCTATTGATGAATTTGCAACTGCTTTATATCACTACTACTATTACTAGTAATTTGCATTTGATAATTACTAATCGGCCGGTACTCCTGTGTTATGCATGTATATGTGTAGGGTGTACGCGGCGGTGCATGCGCGGCGACGGCGCTGGTGAAGGACGGTGAGCTCTTCGTCGCCAACGTGGGCGACTGCCGCGCCGTCCTCGGCAGCCGCAGCGGCGTGGCGACCGCGCTGACGAGCGACCACACCGCCGCCCGCGAGGACGAGAGGCGCCGCATCGAGAGCTCGGTAAGTGACGATCAACGATACGGACCAAGAGCTTTTTTTTTTTGCGTAAATATACGGACCAAGAGCATAATCATGCCGGCACTGCACAGGTGATCCGCTCGAAGCTTTCTGTTTGCAGTCCAGCCAGCAGTACTGATGAGATTGCACACGTGCGTGTGGTGTTGCTATGCATTGCAGGGAGGGTACGTGAGCTGCGGCAGCAGCGGCGTGTGGCGCGTGCAGGACTGCCTGGCCGTGTCGCGCGCGTTCGGAGACGCGTCCATGAAGGCCTGGGTCACCTGCGAGCCGGAGGTGTCGCGGCGCCGCCTCACCCCGGACTGTCGCTTCCTCGTCGTCGCGTCCGACGGCCTCTGGAACAATGTGTCCTGCCAGGAGGCCGTCGACGTCGTCGTCTCCGCCGCCGCGGCAGGAACTGCATCCTCCGTGGGATCGTGCAAGGAGCTAGTCGCCTTGGCCAGGAACAGAGGGAGCCGGGACGACATCACCGTCATGCTTGTCGATCTGCAGCAATTCATTTCACAGTGACAGGACGCGGAGACCATTATATATCGATCAGCGAAAGAAAACATTCGTACGTAATCAAATGTTCTTTTTATGTCGTATTTTCCATTTTTCTTTACGTTTTACTGTTGGACACTGTAGATGATTTTCCAAGAGATTATATTGTACGTAGTAGTGTAGAGAGGGCTGCCTTCCGAAGAGATTTGAATTGAAACTCATCGGAGAGTGCGGATGAAGATTAGCGCGACATGTAAAATAGCAATGATGAGCCTTAGATGAGATGAATTACTGTTCAGCAGCACTATGTCCGGACGGAAACCCCACGTCTGGACGGCCGCGCCTCCTGCAACGCTCACGCTAGTGCCTGCTGCACGCTCAGGTTGGGCCCACCCGCGCCACTCTACCACGCTTCCCTGCTTCCCGTGCCCCTCCACGCCTGCTGCGCCGCTTCTCTCCATGCACGACGCCCCAGCAACTACGACAGGTGGCTTACTTTGCAACATGCATAATGCCCTGAACTACCTTTGAAACATCCAAATGAAACAATTACAACATATGTACGAAACAGCCAAAACATGCGTCTGAAACACATGAAAAATACTTGAAAAACAATTACAAACATATGCAACATCGAGATTAAACACTTGCAACATATATATGAAACATATGCAACATCCTGATAAACACATTGCAAAATACGTCTGGAAAAAATAAAACATTGAGAACAGACACTTACAACATCGTGTGCAATCATTGCAACATATGCAATATCGCGATCTACTTTTACAACATCCACATGAAATATTTGAAACATACATACGAAGCATCTGAAATACTTGAAACATACGCTTGTAACATGGAAGAGCCTGGGGGCAGGCGATTCCAGCCGTCGGAGCCGGCGCCGCGTGAGCTCCACCACCACCACCATCGCTAGCAGCACTGGGCTTGGCTGGCCAGGCGGGCGGCGCGCGCGACGGTCGGGAGCGAGCGGCGCGGGATGGGCGAGCGCGATGCGCGGGAGCGAGCGGTGCGGGATGGTCGCACGGCAGCAGCGAGGTGGAGTGGGCGCGTGGTGTTCGGACGGGAAGGCAGTAGCTAGAGAAGGCCACCACGTTAGAGAAGGCCAGCGCGGGCGGGCGGCACGGTGGATGCGCCCCACGGCGGTCGCATGCGTGCGGCAGTGGGGAAAGGAAATGTCGTTGTTTTTTTTTATTTTTTGGAGAAACCACGTTATACTGAAGGTGGAGCGGAGGATGCCTGTTTGGCTTGATCGTTGGCCAGGCCTGGGAACGGGCCGTCTGAACGGAACACGCCGGGACGAACACCCGTGTGCCAGCATTATCGATTACTATTTGCTTACCGCTACAAATACGTCGATACATGGTAGCGGGAGAAGAAAAACTATCAACATTCATGAAAAACGAGGACTGGAATGCTGCGTTATGATTTATTCTTTCTATAAATTTTTAAAGCTAATTTTAAACCATTTTTATAGGCGTCATTCTTTTTGATATATACGGCTCTATCAAAATTAGCCTCCAAAATTGGTTTCTAATCTGGTCCGCCTTTACAAAATCGATTTTTAGAAACTACTGCAATTTTTAGAGGCAGCTATTTAAGATGGGACTGTAATTTTATAGGTGCCAAACCACCTCTAAAAATGATATTTTTGATAGAGGTATTTCTAGAGACGGTCGGTAATTTACCAAGAAAAGAAAATAGAATGGGGAATGTTGGCTGGGAAAATAGAACTGGGAATGCGAGATGTCAAAAATGAAACAAATCGATTAGGAACTGGTCGTCGATAACAGTTAGGAATCGATAATTAAAATTACGAAGAATGATACACAATAAAACAATAATGATTTTGGAGTAAATGACAACCATCATATAACAACTCGAATGGCTGTATCATTTTAGTCCAACAAGTTAAAAAAACGTGTAAATAGACGTATAAACTTCTTGATGCGTGCGTTTATAGTCACATGTATGCCATGCAACATATTTTGCCACCATGGCAGGTGACATGACGATTTTTATACACATGGCCCTATGACTTTCTCCCTCCTCATCTAGGTTTTCTGCTGGTTGTTATCCATGTCTACTACTCGTTCGTTCAACTAATCACTTCTTGGAGTATCATAGTGATCGGCACCTGAACAAATCAGAACGATGACATTCCTAGCCACCTTCGACGGCAATAGAGCCACAGTGATGTGCAAAAGATGGACTTCGGGGTTGTTTGAATGGTGCCTATTGTTACATAATTAGGCATTTTTATGATCAATTTAATTCAGAAATAAAACATCAGCAAGTTTGTGATGACATATATATACATGTGTATATCACTAACAAACACTACAACATGCAAGTATGACATACAGATCGATACAGTAAGAACGCAAAGTGCGGTAATCACAGAGTTAAGATTGTACCCAACGGAGGGTCCCATGCCGAGGGCATCGGAGGCTCCATTTACACTAGTCGACATAGTGCGTTGCTCAAAGTCGTGGACCACAGTCGATACAGGAAGGTGTTCGCAGTGCAGTCCCATGAACGGTCACCAGGAAGAAGACGGATTCCGTGATCGATCACCAGAAAGAAGACAGGTTCTGCGAGCGATCACCAGAAAAAAGACGTTGGACGAGCAGTCGCGGAATCGCTCCCTAAAAACCTAATCGCCGCACACCCTGTGCAAGGTTCGCAAGCGGACGAGGGTTCCGAAGGTACCTGCTCTCCCGCTACTCTGTGCGCGCAGAGGTACGGGACGGGGAAAGCCAAAGGGCGGCTGAGATGTGGTCTCTCTCGGAAGCGAAGTGGAAGAAGTGGACTGATGGAGGACTTCAGATTTATGGCTGCGGCGGGGGGAGAGAAAGGCAGCGGAGGAACCCAGGAGGCGGAGACACGAAGAAACGGTAACTGACGCAATCAGTTTGCCTCCACCATAAAGGAGAGAAACTCCCGTGATTATGTGGATTAAGTGGCAAAACTCGGCCTCGGCCTGCGCCCACGCCCACGCCCATGCCCACGCCCACACCTGGCCTAGCCCGGCACGGCCAGCGGCGGCGACGGCGGCGGCACGCGCGTGCGCGTGTGGCACTCCTTTGTCTTTTTCTCAGCTTCTCAATTAAGATGGATAATTTCCAAGCAAATAAGCTGAGTAAAAGTTCAGTCAAAATCACATACGGTATTAAACCATACAACACTTAATGTTACGTATCATAGAGTTTTATTTGATTTATTAAATATTATACGGGCCAAGCCCATAATATATTCAACAATCCCCACCATACTCTATGGTTTGTAATAAAATAGTCTCAGAATCACATTTCTTTTATATACCAGTGTTTCGATGTTGACTGTTAAGTTGAACATCCATCTAGAGCAATAGTTTCACTCGGTCACAACTGAACAATGGACTAAGCCTTGAATTGACAGTTTTGTGTGAGGTGAATGTTACTAAAGTCCTTAACTGATACTAGACTGCAAAAGGCATCCCCTCTATTTGAAACATATAAGTCATACTCTAGTGTCTTTCATGAGTATTTAGAGATCACCCAAATCTCATAGACTGTGACCAGCAGTCTGACTCATATAGGTATGTTCCTCAAAAAATGTTCTGTAGGACAACATTTTTGCTTTAGCAAGCCACTTGGAACACACTAAGGTAAAACCAATCTGCCTTACAGAAAGGAAAGATATGCATCAGAAATGAGTCTTACTAAGGATCTTTTCTCATAATTTACTACTAGCTTGTTTCACCCTCCCACTTCACGGGATCTCCAATCACATAGAATAGGTTACCACTATAGTAAATTTTATGTGGGTCTCAAACCCATCTCTCTCGATGCACTTTCTATCACATTACATGATAGATCCTTAGTGAACTGATCTGTCAGATTGTTAGACGTATGAACATAGTCCAATGCTATTACTCTGGAGTTTCTCAATTTTCAGGCAGATTTTAGTTGTCTCTTAATATGCCTTGTAGACTTCATGTTATCCTTAAAACTGTTAACCTGTGTAATCATAGTCTGGTTATCGTAGTTCATAGAAATAGTCGGTATAGGTTTTTCAACAATCGGTAAATCCATAAGGAGATCATGAAGCCACTCGGCCTCAGAGCCAGCGGTGTCTAATGCTGTGAGTTCTACTTCCATTGTAGACTTCGTTAAGATAGTCTGCTTGCAAGACTTCTAGGAAACAGCACCACTTCTAAGCGAAAACACATATCCACTTGTGGCATAAAGCTCATCAGCATCAGAGATCCAGTTGGCATCACAATAGCCTTCCAGCACCTTCAGATGTCCGGTATAACGAATACCATAGCTCATAGCGCCTTTTAAATAGCACATCACTCTCTCAAGAGCACGCCAGTGATCATCTCCCGGGTTTAACACAAACCGGCTCAACTTGCATACAGCAAATGAGATGTCAGGCCTTGTTGCACTAGCAAGATACATGAGCGAACCAATGATATGGGAATATCTCAACTGATCCCTTGCTATTCTTCGATTTTTCCTCAATAGCACACTTGGGTCATAAGGTGTAGGAGCAGGTTCACAGTCACTAAACCCAAAGTGACTCAGCACCTTTTCCACATAGTGAGATTGTAACAGAGTTACCCCACCATCACCTTCTCTCAGAAGCTTGATATTAATAATAATATCAGTCTCTCCCAAATTTTTCATTTCAAAATTATTACATAAAAATTCCTTCACCTCCTCAATCACTTTGATGCTGGATCCAAAGATCAGTATGTCATCAACATATAAGCACAAAATAACTCCTTCACCCCCATCATACCGATAGTACACACATTTATCAGCTTCATTCACAACAAAGCCAACAGATGTTAGAGTTCTGTCGAACTTCTCAAGCCACTGCTTAGGAGCTTGTTTTAGGCCATATAATGACTTTAATAATTTACACACCTTGCCTTCTTGACCATTTACAAAAAACCCATCCCGCTGATCCATATAGATCTCCTCCTCTAACTCTCTATTTAGGAAAGCTATCTTAAC